GAAGAGGTGCGTCCTGGTGAGGGAAAGGCGCAAAGCCACCTGGCAGTGCGTGCGTGCCTGGGCCCAAGTGACGTCTCACAGACGGACCAAGGACGTTCATAAGAACGTCTCCAGGTATCATGGGTGGAAAAACCCCGATTTTTCCAACGGCAGACATCGGGTTTTTTCTTTAATACAATTAAACCCGATTTCGGTGAATTAAAACCTGGTTTAATGAATACGAAACTCTGAGCCAAGGCTTAGGCTGCTTCCTCGTCGGTGCTGCTATCGTACTCGGGGGGGGGGGGGGGCCGTCGGGCACGGGGTCGTCGTAGAATGCGGCGGGCAGGTTGGTCGTGATGAACACGAGGAGCTTCTCCTCCACAGTCGTGGGCGCCAGTGAGTTCCTTCGCTTGGAATGGATGAAGCCCATCGCTGAGAAGTGCGGTTCTGCAATTAGAACCAATTAAACCGGATTTCTCCCAATCTCAGATGATCGGGTTTAATATAAAAAGACAATTAAACCCGATTGTAGAAAACCCGCCTGTGCCACCCTTGCCAGGCATCACCTCTGTCATGTTGACCGTGTCGCCCCTTGTTGCGTTGAACGGGAGGGAGTGTCCTCGCCAGGTAACACCCGGCAACCCAGCAGCGATGTGTCCAACACGCCCGACTCTGCCGTGTCTACGTACGTGTGTTGTATGTGCGTGGATGTTAAACTTCTTTTGCACCGTCCGTAGCCAAACTCGCTATTCGGACGGTGCGCGGGAAGGACCACAAACTAAAGGCGAAAGGCAGTTTTAAAGAGGCGAGGTCCGCATGCACGCGATGCAGTGGCCGTCTTTGTTTGACGGCGAGCCGAACGCTGCTGCTGCTGCTGCTGTGAGGATGACCGGAGTCCCCGTGAAGATGGTTTATGTTCCTTGACGATGGAACTTCTTTCGCACCGTACGGAGCCAACCGTGCGAATCGGAGGTGCGGGCTGAGACCCAGAAATGTGCAAACGGGTCCAGCGTTTTGCTCGCTTCGTTTAGGGACCGTCCATAAATGACGTCACGCACCTAGGGGGGGGGTCAGACATTTGTGACGATGTGTGACGAGGGGGGGGGGGGGGGGGTGAGAAATGTGACGTCACGTAAAAATGCGCAACTTTGAATAAATAACAACACTAATTGTTACAACAACACTCCTACAACATCATAGTGCAGCGCCACATTAAATACGCACTACAATGACAATAGTTCAAAGCGATTTGAAGCATGTTTCATTTTCAAAATGGAAATATGTTTTTGGGGGGGGACAGAGCGTTATGACGTCATATTCGAGGGGGGTCTGACTTTTTGTGACGCCGTGTGACGTCATTTATGGACGGCCCTTAAAGGCTGCTGGAAAGACAATAAATAGGCAGATGGTCTAAAACAAACTTTATTTGTAAGGTGGATTGACATCGCTCGTTGTGTGAGAGGTGGCGACGGCTACGAGAAGCCTTCCTCCTGCAGTGGATTGACCATGCCTGATGATGATGATGATGAGACACAGAAATTAATTCTGGTTACGTTTGCTTTGAACCATAATGATCCACACCAATGCAGCATAAGTTTGGACGTAAGATTGCTTTCTGATGACGAACACGTTACCCACATACTCTTAGGTTTTTTCGGTAAAGTCACGCAAAAAAAAAACCTAAGAGTATGAATCCTTGCAGTCACGAAAGCTTCAAATCTAGAAAACGTTACCCACAATGCAGCATTCTGCGCCTCCAATTCTGATCCCACCGCGTTCCGCCACCCCTATAGCCCCCACCACCCCTACACACCCCTCGCCATCCGACCCCCTCCCGGATCATTTGCATGTGAATGGAAATCGCCCTAGCGGAGTCAGCAGATTCTATGGCCAAGGGCGAGGGGAGGTGTTAGGGAGGGGGAGGGAGGGGGGGGTAGAGGTGAGGGTGGAAGAGGGGAGGTGGAGTAAGGGGAGAGAAGTATGGGGTAGGGGGGAGGGCGGAAAGGAGGAGGGAGAGCGTTAAGGTGAGGATGGAGGGGGAGCGTGGAGGAGGAGGAGGAGGAGGGGGTTGTAGAGTGGGAGAGGAGTGAAAGAGAGGTGTGTGGAGGGGAGAGGAGAGAGGGTGGAGGAGAGGGGAGGGAGTTCAGGTGAGTGGCGGGATGGTGAGGAACGGTTGCCCCCGATTCAAGAGCCGAATGGCTCACAGGGCGAAACCAAATAAATGAAACTGAAAATGAAACTGAAAGGGGAACGGGGGTCCGGGTTATGGGGGGGGGGGGTTAGAGAGTTATGGTGAAGTGGGGGGAGGGGCAGGTGTGGTGAGGTGTGGTGAGGTGTGGTGAGGTGTGGTGAGGGAGTGGTGTGGTGAGGAAGCCCGCGGTTAAGTAAGGACTATGGGAGAGCAGCGGTAGAATAACGGGAGGTAATCGGGTGATGTGGGAGCGGGGAGTTGGCTGTGAGCGCCCCACGTGCTCCGCCTTGCGGAGAAGGCGAGGACTGACGCCGAGTGCGTCACGTGGGTCGTGCCGAGTCACGTGGGTCGTAGCGAGCACGTGGCACGCGCAGTGCTCGGGTGAGTGAGTGATGAGGAGTAAAGTTATATCAGATGCGCGGCCACCAGCGCCACAGCGATACACGCACCAATCTAAACTTGAAGTTTTCGTGACTGCAGGGATCCATACGATTTGGTTCTTTCGGTAAAGTCACGACGTTTCGATTGCAAAAACATTTTCTTGCTGTGGTTTTCACACCTGATGGTGATGATGATTGCTTGTGTTGCAATCGAAACGTCGTGATTTAATTTATTTTTTACCTACGTGACTTTACCGAAAGAACCAAAGAGTATATACGTACCACCATCACCGCTACCAGCACCATCACCAGCACGACCACTAATTACATCACCAATAACAGCACCACCATCACCAGCACGACCACCAATCGCCTACAACAGCAGCACCACTAGCAGCAGCATCACCATTACCATCACCAGTACCACTACCTGCACTTTAACAGACTGTAGGGGCAAGGGCTGTTAGCGATCACCTACGAAAGTGGCGATGTTTCCACACCGCCACCAGGTACTCGTGTGAGGCTGAGCTGACCTCGGGGAGGCCCAGGACCGGTTCAGATAATTATCTTAATTATAATTAATCGTCACTGATGTTGACCGTGGAGGGGAATCAAACTCGGGTCGCCGCGTTCGTAGTGCAGCGCGCTAACCGCTACACAAAAGATTTGACACCAGGACCAAAGATACCACCACCATCGCCATCGCCACCATCACGAGCACCATCTTCACTATCACGCACCAGCACCGCCTCTGCTATCACCACCACCGTCATCATCACCGCGCGCGTTTAGTTTTTTTATTAGATTTCTTTTTTATTGGAAACAGATTCAGCCGCTCTCGTGATGTGCGTCACCTCAGGGGGTTCATAATGGCCACGTCGCAGCCACTTGTCCAACACCTCCGTCTTAGAAGGATGAAGGTGCCGTAGGCAGGAATTAAGAACACCTGGGATTAACAATGAACCCTACGATTAATTAATTATATAAGGGTGCCCTAGTCTGGCCCTATGAACTCACGGGTATCAATAATTGACCCGAATAATCTTTAAAAGTGCCTTAGCCTGGATCTAAGAGCCGCAGACATTTAAAATGAATCCTAATAGTCCTAAAGTATGTAAGTTTAAACCTCCCGTTGATCACGTGACTTCTGCGTGGCCACGCCCACTCTGGATCCCTCCCCTCTCGCTGCTGCCCCCTACGAAAACAGACGCCGCTCGGTGCGGCTCACCACTGCTTTTCCCTCTCATCCCTCTCCTCTCATCATCACCCTGTCATCATCATCACCCTCTCATCATCATCATCACCCTATCATCATCTTCGCCCTATCATCATTACCCTCTCATCATCACCCTCTCATCATCATCTTCACCCTCTCATCATCATCATCATCACCCTATCATCATTACCCTCTCGTTATCATCATCACCCTGTCATCATTACCCTATCATCATCATCACCCTATCATCATCACCCTCTCGTTGTCATCATCATCAGCCTCTCATCATCCCCCAACAACACGGCCCGATCTCATTCTCCTCCTCCCTCTCCTCTTTGCCTGCCGCTCACCTTGAGCCACGCCCTCCTCATCGTCCCTCCCGGCATGCCCTTCCCTCTCCCCTTCTTCCCTCTCCCCTTCTTCCCTCTCCCCTTTCCTCTCCCCTTCCCTCTCCCCTCCCCTCTCCCCTTCCTCGCCACGCATTATATCTAGTCATACCCCGATTTACGTCACTCCCCCTTCTACGTCGTTTCGCAAACACGTCGTCACTTCAATCTGAATACCGCTGCCTCATCTGCGTCGCCTCAACCCCACACTTACGTCGCTGACGGCATCGTCCGACCTTTCTCGTTATCCGTCGCCTTTCAGCCCTCGCCTCCACCTACCCTGTACACTAACACATACATTTACCGTGCTGTAGAGCACAGTATATTATTTACGTACGGTATTTTGTTGATTTTTGTTTCTAGTTTATTGTATTTTATTGTACCCTGTAGAATTTGTATTCAAGTTTACGGCTGTACGCTGGTGTTCAGTTCAGTATTTGTTTTGTAATTTAACGTAACTTTGTGGGTACGTCTGGGACAGTGTTGCTCACTAACTTTAAGAAGGGGCACTTTCGCCAGATAAGACATCACCAGTTGTGCGAGGGCCGTCACACAATGTGAAGCCGTTGGTGGTTTTTGACATAGCTCGATGATGATGGGGGGGGGAGGGTGTTTTCACTTGTTGTGTTTTGTCGGGATGCCGCACGTCAGGGGCCGCCAGTGGCCCAAGTGCCTCTTGCAGTGAAGGTCACCACTCTAGGATGAAGACGCGAACACACAGCGCGTCACCGTACCCTCCGCTGTCTGTGTTTAGCGCTCGTTGAACAAACATGGCTTCGATTTACGTTGATCGTCGTCGCATCTTTCTGGAACGTAACCCCCCCCCCCCCCGCTGTAACCGGGGTATTATGCCCGTATGTATAATATCAGTGGTCGTGCGCCACAGGTACAATGGGCTGTGATGATCCATACAGCATTGAGCTACGTGACCCTACCGTACCACGTGATATAGCAGATGGGATCTACGTATGTGTGTCCTGTATATGTTGGACTTCTTTCGCACCGCACGTAGCCAACCGCGGCTAATCTTACGCGTGAAGGACTCCAACCAATCACAGACAGCAAGAACCAGGAAGCTACCGTGAAAAGAACTCGTAAAATCAGAGAACGTGTCACTAATTCCGTCCGATCACAAAACAACGCTAAGCAGGAAGCTACTTCGCATCCGTAAACGACAAGAAAACACCAACACAACTGGCAGGGGAAAAAAACATTAAACCACACACACACACGGGTGTGTAGCGCTGCATGTGTAGAAGTTCTCAGCCTTATCCAGACCACCCGCTCTAAATAACTGAATGTGTGGCCATATTATACATTTTGGGGTTTGAACCACCGACTCAAAAAAGTGGTTGAAAATGTTGGCATCCTAACAACAGTTCAAGTTCAAAGTTCAAAGTTCATTTATTAGGTAAAGCCCTGTGAGCCATTCGGCTCTTGAATCGGGTGCAACCGCAACAACAATAGATAGATTCTGGCTTGAAGCCAAGCAGGGCCAGGGGCGGAGCTAATGACGCGTTCATTGCGTGTGACGTCAGTCGGTGCATTGTGAGGACAGCGTCATGTAATCTACGCGCCCCTCGAATCGGTTCATTGCGTGTAACGTTGGTTGCACAGCTGGACTCGGACAGAAGTAAAACAAACTGGTAGCCACCTCTTATCTTCGCACCTGATTGGTTCAAAAGTGACGACGTCACATTTATGCCTCCTCTGTCCAAGACCGAAACAGGAGGTGGATTTCTCCACAACTCTGGCTGTCACCTGATGAGGCTGGTTGTAATTACCGGCGAAACGTCACCGTACTCGAATGGTAAATGTTGTTGTGGGTTTACTCTCCAACACACAACCGGTGTGCCGAACTAGTAACGAATTGGCATGTTTTGTTTAGGTGACAAACCTTTCTAATTGGCTGTATCGGGTGTTGGTGAGTTTAACGACATATTTATATTTACGCGATCTAACCCAAAAACCTCTATTATGCAGAACGACAAAATTGCCACACTCAGTTCTTTTGAAGCTGGTGGTCTGGATAAGGCTGAGAGCCGTTGTCCATGCAATGCTGCTTCACACCACAGGAGACGCTGGTGCGAGCAGTCGCTGTTGAGAGCAGATCGAATTCTCAGTTTTGGAAAACGTCAAATCACTCGATTTGCACTCACACACGATGAGGTCCATTCAAACGACAGCCAACTCTCGATTATCCGCGATCCGATTATTTTTCCAGTTTATTGAATAATGGCTGGGTAGGGAGTCAACGGAGTATGTCTACACGCGTGAGCTGTTTAGATATTATGAGTATAAGCTGCTCCTCACTCGTCCAGGGTCCGTACGTGTGTGCGTGGCTGCACGTCGGCAAGTAAAACGGGGTCCGGTGCTTTGAGCATCAATGACAGCAGACGTCCACCAGCTTCCCCGTGTTCGCACCAGCGCCCCGTGTGGTCGTAAACACGTGGTCCTAGCCTCATTTACGTACGGTGTGAATTGTCCACGGTTATTTTTTAAATCCGGACCTCTGTCTCCCCCATGACCCCCCCCCCCTCTCTCTCTCTCCCAATTACCCCGGATAACCGAGAGTCGGCTTTGCACTCGATGGTTGAAGTAGGAGATGGACACGGGTGAAGCGAAGGACGAGAGAGAGACGAGGTGCAAATAGACAGTACAATTCATTCTCTAGCATCATATTCATAATGAACGTTTTTTGGTTAGATCGCGTTATCTATAAATGTGTCGCAACCCTCCACCACCAGACATGGCCAATCAGCAAAAATGTGTCACGTCGTTCTCAAACATTGTAAATGTTGTGGTTTCACGCTTCAACACACCGGTGGGCTAAAGCAGTGAACTATTTGTCTTTTGTCAACGTGACACTTTTTTGCTGATTGTCCGTGTCGGGTGATGGAGGATTACGACACATTTATAAATAACGCGATCTAACCCAAAACGGTTATTATGAATAATATTGGTCGCGAAAGCCTGCTACGTGTTTAACGAATTCTCTAGCACTCCACGCTCGCTGGCGACGGGCCTTGTGTGTGTCGCCCCATGCCCGTTCCGCACTTGTTCCGCGCTCGTTCCGTTCCCTCTGCGTTCCATTCTCGTTCTGTTCACACGAGTGGTTTGTCGTCGCGGGTCGAGTCGTCATCGACTCCGTCCTGGAACGCGCGGCGATCGAACCTGCACACCCGGCCGGCCGGCCGGCATCCATCACATCAGTGTGATTATGAATATTATGATTGTGATGATTATGCTGATTGTGGAGATTATGATAATTATGTTCATTGTGGTGGTTATGATGATTACGATGATTGTGGTGATTACGATTATGATGGATGGAGTGATTATGATAGTTATGACAATTCCGCGTGTGTACCCTGCAGGAAGGCCTCATTGAGTCTCAAGACTTTTTTTCAGGAGTCTACTGCCAAGTGGTTCGTAGCAGGGTGCGATGTTACTGCTGCTGCGTGAGATTCCAATTGAGTAATTTGCAACGTGATTTTTCGGAGCTGGGATGTTTAATTGGCCACGACCAGTTCAGCATTTTTTAATTTGCAATGGGAGGAAACCGGAAAATCACGGAGGAAATGCATGCAGAACAGAGAGCATACAAACTCCACTCGCTCTCTCTTACACATACACTGCAGAACAGGGGGAGAACACACACATTCCACACAGAGAAAGGCGCCCCAGTCAGGAATCGAACCGAGGTGCCTTCCTGCTGAGTGGCTTGAGTGTTATCACTTCGCTGCCACGGCCACTGCAGCCCGTGACGAGTGGCAGCACCTACTCTTGTGCACCCCACGCAGCGTCACGCAACATCAGCTTCGGACACCACCACCGTCTTGAACTGTTACAGCCTCACGTCGGTTCTCTGCTATCGCCCCTCGGTGTGGAACTCCGTTTGCACCTCCGCAACATCAAATGCACTCTTGACCTTTAAGTTTTAAGAAACGTCTAACATCTGTTTGGGTCAGGCTTTTCGAGCAGCCCTGAAGCTTGGCTCGGCGCCTCTGAGTTATTGATGTGTCTGCAAAATTTGGCGCGTTATAAATGTCATGATTATTATTATTAGCACCACACGTTCACTCTACGCCAGTGTGCTTTGTTGCAAGGCCCGCGAGCCACTGGCGGTCCCTGGTGCCTTCTAGTGCGGCCCCTGGCGTGCAAACTCCACCCCAATCATCATCACCGTGCTGCTGTCACAAACCCCCAAGGGTTTCAAATGTGTGGCGGCCCTCACACTGATGATGTCTTGTGATTGAAGAACACTGCTGTCTACACGCGCGCGGGCGTGTGTGCAATCATCAATGTCGAGTTCTATCTCGCATCGTATTGATTCGATGAGAACGAAGCTTGAGTATGAAGTGTCGTTGCCAATTACATAACAAACAAAAACAAACCCTGCCACATTTGTCAGAAGGCTGCCAAAAACTTGAGAAGACAAAAACAGCTCTAAAAGGACTATTTTAACAGCAACTTTCTGATGAGATATACCACGTCTGGCAGGGCTTTCGTTAGCAACAGTTGTGTTTTAGTCACATCGACGCGTAAGGAAAATATTGCGTCCTAAACCCTCCGATTTAACAGAATCGCCACACGAGCGAACGTGCGCCTGAAGCAATCCGAACACATTCGCGCACGCGGCAGCTCGACAAGTTTGTCCGCGTCGGGTGGAGGGAGGTTACACGACACAACAATGTAACGACCCGCCCGCCAAACCACCCCCTCCCCTTCCAACCCCCCCTCCCCTGGCCTCACCTGGCCCGTCTCAGCGCCGCCTGTGCGCGTCCCAGGTGAATGGCGCGCAGGCGGTGGAGAGGCGCCGTGCCCCTCGCCGCCATCCCGGCCAGCTGAGACTCCTCCGCGTGAGCGCCGATGCGCCCCAGACGCCGCGCGCCCACGGCCACCACCAGCAGCACGAGCAGCAGCGCAGAGCCGCCCGCGGCGGCTGCCAGGGGGAGCACTCGGGCCTGCAGCTCCAAGGGGACCGCGTCGTCGATCCGCGGCTGCTTCTGTTGCCGGGACTCGGGGTCGAGCCCCTCGGCTCTGACAACCGAAGCGCTGGGGGAGCGCTCGCGTGGGAGAGCACGAAGGGGGGTACCTGTGGGGGTGCGGGGTGGGTGTCAAGGGGTGGTGAGTGCATCTCTGTCAGGGTGGCGCGGTGCTGCCTGGCAGCGTGGAGCTCCCGGATTCGATTCCCGTCTCGGTGAGTATTTCTGTGTGGAGTCTCGTCCGCGTTCTCCGGGTTCCTCCCATAGCAAACACAAATATCAATCCCCCATACCGAGTATGTCTATTGGACTTCTTGAGCATCGTACGTAGCCGACCGTGCGGCGGAAGGGCAACAAACTAAAAACAAAAATCTGATCTAAAGAAATTCGTTTTACATCTAGAAATGTAACTGGTATTGGTCTAAAAACATTTTTTGTGAAAAAATAATCAGAAATGTCAGTGCTGGGGTGAGGAGGGCAAGAGAGCCCCGTTCCAGATCAACCTCTCCCCCCTCGCCTCGCGTTGCGTTCCACCTGGTAACGTACGGTGCGAAAGAAGTCCAACACACACCTCCGATTAGCACGGTTGGCTATGTACGGTGCGAAAGAAGTCCAACAACAAAGATAAAGATCCCCCGTATAGCCTTAACAGACTGTAGGGGCAAGTGCTGTTAGCGAGCACCTATGAAGGCCGGAACGGTACACGAGGGGGTGGGTGGCCAGCACCACGCCCGACCGCCTTTGTCTCCCTAGCGGCGATGTTTACACACCGCACCAGGTACTCATTTGAGGCTGAGTCGACCTAGGGGAGGCCCAGAACCGGTTCAGATAATCGTCACTGGTGTTTGCCGTGAGCGGGAATCGAACCCGGGTCGCCAAGTTCGTAGTGCAGCGCGCTAACCGCTACACTACCGCTCCCCACAACAACAACAACAAACGCACACACACACACATACACACACCACACATACACACACACATACACACACTCACACACACATACACACACACATACACTCCCACACACATACACACACCACATACACACACGCAGGTGAACTAAGATGGTTGCGGCTGTGGGGAAACGTGATTGGGACCTGGGCAGGAGGCGTCACGTGGCCGATGGTCGAGACTCAGAGCGGAGTGGCAACCACGGAACGGGGCCGAGAGGACCTCCACTGGGAGATGGAGCGGTGATGGAATCAGCTCATGGGGCGTAGAGCTTGGAGTGCAGGGAGCTATTTACTCGATATGGGGTGCAGGGTGCTATATATGGGTGCAGGGTGCTATATATGGGAGCTATATATGGGTGCAGGGTGCTATATATGGGTGCAGGGTGCTATATATGGGTGCAGGGTGCTATATATGGGTGCAGGGTTCTATATATGGGTGCAGGGTGCTATATATGGGATCTATATATGGGTGCAGGGTGCTATATATGGGTGCAGTGTGCTATATATGGGAGCTATATATGGGTGCAGGGTTCTATATATGGGTGCAGGGTGTCTATATATGGGAGCTATATAATGGGTGCAGGGTGCGATATATGGGTGCGGGGTGCTATATATGGGAGCTATATATGGGTGCAGGGTGCTATATATGGGTGGCAGGGTGCTATATATGGGTGCAGGTGCTAATATATGGGTGCAGGGTGCTATATATGGGAGCTATATATGGGTGCAGGGGTGCTATATATGGGTGCAGGGTGCTATATATGGGGTGCAGGTGCTAGTATATGGGTGCAGGGTGCTATATAATGGGAGCTATATATGGGTGCAGGGTGCTATATATGGGTGCAGGGTGCTATATATGGTGCAGGTGCTAGTATATGGGAGCTATATATGGTGCAGGTGCTAATAGGGGAGCTATATATGGGTGGCAGGGTGCTATATATGGGTGCAGGGTGCTATATATGGGTGCAGGGTGCTATATATGGGAGCTATATATGGGTGCAGGGTGCTATATATGGGTGCAGGGTGCTATATATGGGTGCAGGGTGCTATATATGGGATCTATATATGGGTGCAGGGTGCTATATATGGGTGCAGTGTGCTATATATGGGAGCTATATATGGGTGCAGGGTTCTATATATGGGTGCAGGGTGCTATATATGGGAGCTATATATGGGTGCAGGGTGCTATATATGGGTGCAGGGTGCTATATATGGGAGCTATATATGGGTGCAGGGTGCTATATATGGGTGCAGGGTGCTATATATGGGTGCAGGGTGCTATATATGGGTGCAGGGTGCTATATATGGGAGCTATATATGGGTGCAGGGTGCTATATATGGGTGCAGGGTGCTATATATGGGTGCAGGGTGCTATATATGGGTGCAGGGTGCTATATATGGGAGCTATATATGGGTGCAGGGTGCTATATATGGGTGCAGGGTGCTATATATGGGTGCAGGGTGCTATATATGGGAGCTATATATGGGTGCAGGGTGCTATATATGGGAGCTATATATGGGTGCAGGGTGCTATATATGGGTGCAGGGTGCTATATATGGGTGCAGGGTGCTATATATGGGAGCTATATATGGGTGCAGGGTGCTATATATGGGTGCAGGGTGCTATTATGGGTGCAGGTGCTATATATGGGAGCTATATATGGGTGCAGGGTGCTATATATGGTGCAGGGTGCTATATATGGGAGCTATATATGGGTGCAGGGTGCTATATATGGGTGCAGGGTGCTATATATGGGTGCAGGGTGCTATATATGGGAGCTATATATGGGTGTAGGGTGCTATATATGGGAGCTATATATGGGTGCAGGGTGCTATATATGGGTGCAGGGTGCTATATATGGGTGCAGGGTGCTATATATGGGAGCTATATGGATGCAGGGTGCTATATATGGGAGCTATATATGGGTGCAGGGTGCTATATATGGATGCAGGGTGCTATATATGGGTGCAGGGTGCTATATATGGGAGCTATATATGGGTGCAGGGTGCTATATATGGGTGCAGGGTGCTATATATGGGTGCAGGGTGCTATATATGGGAGCTATATATGGGTGCAGGGTGCTATATATGGGTGCAGGGTGCTCACGCGCTTCGCATCGTAGCCCAGCGAAGCCGGGAGCGCAGCGGCACACGAAGCCGCCGGCCGCGCCGGTGCAGGAGGCGCCGTTCCTGCAGGGCGCCACTCGGCAACCCGCCCCCTCCGCCCCCTCCTCCGCCTCCTCCCCCTCCTCCCCCCTTTCCTCCTTCTTCGCCTCCTTCGCCTCCCCCTCCTTCGCCCCCTCCCCCTCCTCCTCCCCCCCCTCCTTCGCCTCCCCCCTCCTCCTCCCCCTCCCCCTCCTCCCCCCTTTCCTCCTTCTTCGCCTCCTTCGCCTCCCCCTCCTTCGCCCCCTCCCCCTCCTCCTCCCCCTCCTCCTTCGCCTCCCCCTCCTCCTCCGCCCCCTCCCCCTCCTCCCCCCTTTCCTCCTTCTTCGCCTCCTTCGCCTCCCCCTTCTCAGCCCCCTCCTCCTTCTCCTCCTCCTCGGCGCAGTCGTGACCATGGAAACCGGGCGCGCACGCGCACACGAACAACCCCCCCCGCCGGGGGACACGGGGGCGGGCGGGGCGGTGGGGGAGGAGGAGGGGAGGGGGCGGGAGGAGGAGCGCTCGAGGGGAGGGAGCGGGACGGGGCGCGCGCGCGCTCTGGGTGGCTGGCTGGTGCCTGCGGATGTCGCTCCGTCTGCGCCTCCGTGTGCTCGTCCGCGTGCTCGTCCGGGTGTTGGTCCGGGTGTTGGTCCGGGTGTTGGTCCGGGCGCTGCGAGGCGGGGGGTGCCACGGGCGCGTGCGGCTGTCCCTTCAGGGGCTGTGCGTCCGGGTGTAGGGGCGGAGGCTGCGCATCCTCGGTGGGGTGTGCGTCGGGGTGTACGATGGGGCGCGCCTCTGGTTTGT